GAAAAGATGCCATTGGTTTATGGCGGCCCTTAAGCGGGAAAACTTATGATGTACAAGTGCCAAAGTTTATTTAAGACGAACCGACCTCACAAGAACTTATCTACAAAGGAAAAAACAACTCGCAAAATGGTTGGATTTTTAAAATCCTGCATGGTCATTTTGGCATGTCCAAGGTCAGCGCGAGATGGGTGCCGAGAACGCGTTGGCTGCCCTGCCTGGTTCTCAGTGATTATTACCTGTTTCCAAAAATGAAAAAAGAGCTGAAGGGTAAAAAATGAATCGTCGATGCGAAGTCAAAGAGATTGTTTCGACGTATTTTGAAGATAAAGAGATTTTTTTATGTTTATTTGGGATAATTCATTGAAAGAACGAAAAAAATGCCTGCGTCTTGTCGGTATTATATATATATGGAAAAGAAATAATCATGTTTTCTTATTTCCGACACTTAGCCCCCATCCCGCGAACATAAAAACGCTCACTCGTACGTCGACGACCAAAGTGAAATGAAATGCAAAGGCACGTAGGCACTACAACACCAAATACTTTTGAATATAAAATATTTTATTTAAACATTAACAGGAGCTGAGATTGAGTAAATAAAACATAAATTAACAAAATAATAAATAAATAAATCAAAAGCGAGAATCAAAAGGAAAAGAAGCAAAGGAGAACTAAGTAACAGGTGTTAGTCACAACATGACGAGTTCACACCAAAGAACGTGCACCAAACCTCAGATCCCTTACGACTAAACGTACGTATGGCTGTGTGGGTGCATGTCGTAAAGGAGGTAAATGTGTGAATATGTTTGTTTGTATGTATAAAATTACAATAGGAAACGCATGACATCAGCTGAGCAACGCTGAGCATGTATATTGGGAGCAAGAATTAGAGCTTTTATTAAAGCGAAATTAACGGTAGCAAAATAAAAATAAAAAAACTAATTATTGAAAACGAAAAAAGGCATTGCGCAGCAATTTTACAAAATATATGTAGGTGTGACGCAAGTTTATTATATTTCTGCATGCTTGCTTGACTGAACTGCTTATGTTCCATTTATTACATTTTGCTTGTTTACATCTTTCAATGCCGAGGAACATTTCTCAATTTTTTTTTTTTTTTTTAACCATTTAAGTAGAAAAACAATTAAATTTGCATTAAAGTCACGTTATAAGAGCAAATGAGCAAAAACAACAACACACACACACATGGCAGAAGCTAATAATAGAAACAACAACAAAGGCTGAACAAGTCCCATAAATATGAAAAAAGCATCAAATATATATGTATTGTAAATAAAAATAAATATAATTTATTTTCAATGTTTTGCTCAATATAATGCGTTGAACAAAAACATCTTCTTTTTAGCCTCTTGTTGCTTGTGTGAGAATTTCGCATTAGAAGGTGGCTCGTGTCACTTTCTTTGACATTGAAAATTTATTCAACAACTTTTGCTGGATTCAACAACTTTTTTTTTTATAGTGAAATAAAATATAAAATACAGAACTTATATCAAATATAACAAAAAAAAGACAATAATACATACATAATATTATATGATAATGGAATAAAAAATTATATTAAACCAAATAAAATGAAAAATAAAGTTTTTAAAGAACAATTTAGAAATGAACTAATGCAAGGAGAATAAAAACGAAATAAGTTAGTTAAATTAAACAATTTAGTAAAAATTATAAGCATCTTTTTTATAAAAATATAACACAAATACATTAACTGATATATTAAGGAGCATCAACATTTATGTATTTAGAAAAAATCGTTGACAACATAATTCACCGCAAACGACGTTTGCCTTAAATGAATTATCTAATATGAGCAAATTTGTGATTGTAGCCGCTAAATCACACACATACATTCACCATTATGATCAGAAGTTTACCTTACGATCGATCTGGTTTTACTACAAATAACAGCAGTAATTTCACATACATACAATAATACAAATATGACGTATATACATATATAATAAAGTACAAATAGTGCGGAAAATTTATTGTTAGCGAAATGGAGATAGAATTGAAGCGGCGGTGATTATTCAGATCGATCAAAAGTACAAGTACGTATAGAAAGAACTACAGTGATTACATGAACACATTTATATGTACATACGTGTATGTATATATTGACAATGTGCGGTAAACCAACGACTGAAAAAAAACGCACAAATGAGAACAAAATCATACGCAAAACAGTTAAAAAATAAATGAGAACGTTCATTTGCTGCTTCCAAATGCAACAAATAAACTAACTATTGTAGCAACCGCTTATGCGCCTAAATAAATGCTACAAATTACCACATATGTATGTATGTACACAAGCATATTAGCAAGTCTTTGTTTCAAGCTCAATTGCCGCTTTGAAGTTCGGCACCAGAAGCAAAAGGTAAACCTGACTCGGAGACGTAGTCGCTGAATCAGTGCGAAATGAAGTGCACTAGATGGAGGCAGCAAAAAACAACAACAACAATAACAGCAAGCAGTAAGCAGTACAGCGTAAAATAACGAAGATACAAAAGAGTTGGGTAAACATATGGATGAATGAAATTTTTCACAATTTATTTGCAAAGCAAAAAGTCACAACAAAACAACTTGAACATATGCGAATTTTAACAGTCACACACTTGCACACGTATGTATGTACTCGCGTAATTAGGTCGTTAGCATTCATAAGTAAATAAATTTGTATGTATATTTCCATGGCTGCCCGACAATGGACTGCTTTGGATATCTACATAAATGTAATATGGGGGACGAATACACGCTTAAAAATCGCTTGTTGGCGATATTAACTTGAATTTTTATGAAAACGAAATTTTGAAGAAAGACTTTGCCTTCGAGAGTCGAATTTTATTTATTCAGAATAAATTTACTTTTGAAAGAAAACATTTTCGCGTTTCAATAAATACAATAGTATAAATTCAACGGAAGTGGATATATGGAATAAGCTTAGAACGCCTCAAAGTATGCTTTGGACAATTAAATACAAAGCCACTAATGAAAAATTTACAAAAAAAAAAAAAAAAAATCTTAAACACGAGCACGTTGAAAGTTTTTTTTTAAAGAAATATTATTTCTTTCGCTTGTCTTACACATTTAATTCTCTCAGTGCAATTCCTTTTTTAAAGCGGTTTTATGCAAAAATAGCGTATTTTAATTTCTCACTTAAATTTACTACTACTTATTTTTGTTGCTTTTGTTTTTGTTATCATAAACGTTCGAAACGAAATTTACATACGCATTGGCTTCCGCTCTTTTCACCTTTCCGGCGACAAGGCAAATCCATTCTATTTTCAACTTGCGCTTAACAGTCCATCGTCTGTCAAAGTAAGTCGTTTTTATGCTAATCCAAGTACCGTAAATGCATATGATGTATGTACAAAGTGTAGATATGTATGCAAGTGACACTATTTTTTAATTACAGCCCATAGCTACCTATACAATATGTATGAATGCAAATACAGATGAAATGAAATTTACTACTAAATTTTTGATGTTTGTGGTTTGTGGTGAGAAATAATATGTGGCAATAAGAAGTGGATGAGTACGTACATGTAATACACATACTACGTATAATACATGTATCTGTATGTATACGCAATTCTGTCGTTTTTATTAACTCATAAAAAATTTTGCAAATGACTGTCTATAACTCGAGTTTTCGCCAGAAAACGTATTACTGACATACATACGTAGGTGTGTAGATATATTCGAGTGTGGCACAGCATGACAATTTCTCATAAATTTAAGATAAAATAGTATCACTTATGGTACGAGTATGTGAAATTCTGAAAAGATTTCATAGTTTCGGGGGAAAATAAAATAAGAAGACTGTATTGGGTTATTTTGAAGGCATGTTTCTCTTTTCAGAATGGAAATTGCATTTTTTTTAACCATTTTTGGTATCATAAAACTATTTTCAAATACAATTTTCTATACCATTTTATTGTATATATCTGTCCTCCTCTGAGAACTGACGGAAAACGGCGAGCAACAGCTGTCATGCATAACGTGCAGAAAATGAGAGTTAACATCTCAGGGAATAACGGTGGCTTTACCGTGATTGCGGTGGATTTTCAGACACTTCTTAAACCACTCCCTATGCCTCAACGGACAGGTGCTCGTACGAAAAATATGAACAAACTACAATACCAACAACCAAAACAAGATTGAATGAAAAGGAGAATAACGTGGCAAGCAAGTCGCGCACTGAAGTCCTTATATAGATAATCCAAACCCCGAAAAAGACAGCGGTGGGAATAATTCAAAAATTTCGTGCTGTAGTTGATCTGACTCCCAGTGCACAGTCCGGGAAGCGCAGCCAATCCGAAACTAAGGAGGTAGCTTTCGAAAGAAGCCGCTCGGAGAGAAGCAATATCAACAAGTGTTACGCTAGGTTAACAAGAGTTTTTTATGGCAAAATCCTGAGATATTCAAATATGAATATTTATATTCAAAATTAGTTTGGAGGAATGCTGAAAAAATGTCAAACGAATTATTGAAACCATCCCTAGTGCACCCAATTCTCTTTTTACACGAATTATTTTTTTTCACTTGAATGCATTTATCGTGTTCACTGCATTTCTACTACCACAAGGTATTTACCGAACAACTACCCTTGCCTTTCTTACCATATTTTTGATTCAAAAAGCAGCTGTTATCAACATTTAATAAAAAAAAACTGTCTTATCACTCTTACACATATATACTTCAGCCAAGCAGTGTTTTTGAGTAAACAAATGTTATAAATACATACATACATACATACATACTTACATATCTATATATGTATTTGGTTTTTATTTTTTATTTTTTAATAACAAACGAAATGAATTTCAACACCCACAAAGATTTTTTATGCACACAGTTTTTTATATATATTTTTCCATACCATCAAGATATTCATACATATATGTATAAATATGCCTGCAGGTATGTACATACATATGTATGTGTATTTATATGACCAAAAGCCAAGTACTCACCATTTGGCGGTAGTTTCCAAACGCAATTCATGATAAGACGAGGTAAATTGAAATTTTGCGGCACGTTTATTTACGCGCTGCAAACGCTTCCAAACGCTGCCCATGACGCTGGCAGCTGCCGCGGAGGTGGTCTGCAAGTGCTGCAGGGCACCAACTGTCGCTTGTTCGCTGGAGGTAGCAAATAAAAACTATCACAAAGAAAAGCCGGCAGCACCGAAAAACACGAGACGCCGAGCTGAGTCGAGCTCCCTGGAGTTAGTATTGCTTGAAGATCTGTAGAATTTCGAGGATCTGATGACGAGCTATTGCGATGATTGTATTCAGTAATTTTTTTTTATCACTTTTTCACACAGGTGGTTGGTTGTTTAAGTAAATCTCGGTTTTGTTTTTCGTTGTTTTTGTGTTTTATTATTGCTTATGCACTTCCCTTTCTCAGACACCTGCTGTGTCTGTTTTCGATTCGGTTGGTTTTATTGCTTCGGTTTTTAGCATATGATTTCTTTAACTATTTGCCGCAAAACTAAGGAATTTAGAATTTTTTGATTTATTTTTATCTTTTACTTTTTTATTTAATTAGGTTTAGTGATTAATTTTTAATTTTTAGTTCGCACTGTGGGCTGCCTAAGAAGATACGCTTGTTAGCTCTCCTCAGGTTGCGTGTTAATTAACTGTCATTTCACAACAACAACAACAACAACAACAACAATAACAGCACACTTGTTTCATACAGCAGAATTACGCATATCTCGAGTTACATACACTCGGCCGATCGGCCAGTCGTTCATGTTCAGGTAAACCCGTCTGTCGCGCTCCGAGCTCTGCCCGTTCGCTTGCCAAAGAAAAGAGGAGACATTAAGAGTTCATAAAGATATTTTACTCTCTAGTACTCGCTCGACTTGACGCCTCTGTCTTTCCTTATCTTTGTTGGTCATTACATACGTCATGTAGTGTTTTGACAACTGTGGCTCATACTACGCAGAAATAAACATTTACGTACAGGCATACTAGTACATGAACATATGCACAAATGTATATACAGCAGTTAGTACGCACCGATCTGAGTTATTATTGGCCACAATGGGGAAACTCGTTCTGCACAGTCGATCCTCTACTTTTCGGTATTTTTTTTTCAAAGTTATACCTCTCAAGAGCATCAAATAGTTGTAAATCTTTAGCGAAGAAGTACATATGTACCGAAAACTGTATGCGAAATGCGCTAATAAAGCCTTCTTCAACTGTATATCAGGACCTAAGTATGAAATATATATATATATATGTATATATATGTGTTTTGTGTGAGTGTGTGTACGTTGTTGCCGCTTTGTAACTGCTGAAGCGATTTTCGGCCGACCTCCTCTTCCGATTTGTGGAGGGAACTCTAATTTATGTTAAGAAATACACTCCGAGGGTTTGGCATCTCCAGGCGAGTGTTGATCACAATTAGAAAAATAATTAAATAATAATTATAATATAAATTTCCTATAAATTTGGATGTTGGTCGAAGCAGGGCTTCAGAGTTTTGTTACGCAATGCTAACCAATCGGCTAATACAGTCGCTTGCCGAGATTTCGACTCGAAATTCAGTATATAATGTGCAATTTTGTAAACAATACACAAGATGGATATTTATTTTTATTACATCAATCAACGATGCAGCTTAATTTCCAGAATCAGATCAGATTAAATTTTAGTTAAAATTTATATTTGTGAAGGGTATAATTGAGTTCATCTATACATTTTGGATTTTTGAAATTCTCTTTTAAGTTTCTGCAATACTTTTATTGTTTTAAGATTAACGAACAGCTGTTGCTTCTAGTCAAAATCAGAAGTATTGTTGTTGTTCTTGTTGTTACTAAAAATGAGTGCTCGCGTGCAAGGATTAACAGTTCGGGAGCTCCTTGCCTACAAGATTTCGCAATTTAACAGAAGAACTGGCACATATAATGCACGAGTACACATATACATAAATAAATATATATTATATGTACGTTAGCATATGTACATACATACATATGTATAAGTGTGCTTATTTGCTTGGCAATATTCTTGTTTATTTCTCTACAAATTACAAATCTTCCGTTGAGATTCATCATGATTGACTTATTTTTAGATCAGCCAATGTGTCTGTCAGTCAATTATAAATATATTTACTCGTATGTCTGTATGTATGTGAGTACATATATATTTTTTGTACTGCTTATATACATACATATGTTTATGTAAATATGTATATTGTTGTTGCATTGCATGTTAGCATTTTTAATAAGTTTTCAACTGTGGTTGTTGCTGCTGTTGTTATGCGGACTGCAAAACAGGCAATTTACACTTGGGATGGAATTAGGAAAATAAACAGCGCAATTGCAACCGGTGCAAGCGACTTATCTGATATGCTGACTATTCATACATACATGCATATGTACATATAATGTAGGTACATACGAGTGCAAATGTATGTCCATTCATATGTACATATATGTATACACATATCGATAGAATTGTTTATAACGGCGCATTGATAACCCCGGACTTTTTTTTACTCATTTCAATGTCGTGCGTTTAAAGGTGATTACGTTTTATAAACATTTCTTTGTACTTATTTATGTATTTCCATATACATATACATATATACAAACATACATACATATTGACGAATTGAATAAATTTAACGCAATCAAATGAAAGAAGAAAAAACAAGGAATAAATGTAAACAATATTTCTTGCATTTATTAACTTATTACTACCAATTATAAGTAATTACACACAAATGTATGCACACATAAATTTTAGGGTTAAAAGACGTCTTATCTTCGTTGTTACTTTGGCAGTTCTAGAAACTAAGGTCATTATAGAGGGCAAAAACAAATTAGTGTTGACATAGCCAAGCATATTCCTCTCGAAGATTCAATTTGGACCATAAAATATCGAAAAAAGGATCGGTAAGGCTGAAGCTGGGAACATCGTTAAAGATATGACGTCTTTATCGGCTGAACGCCGGATCCTTACAAATGGAGTGCTCCGACATTTCGTCATCTGCGTTCTGTACTCAGCCGATCCTTCTCTATTATTGCTATAGTATGTTAATTGACACACTTGATTGTCACTTACATATCTGTATACAACAAGCTTAACAGATTTTGCTAGGACACTTCATGAACTCGATAAGAAGCATCTTTATGAGTCTGCCAGCATGTTTTACGGCTGAGACCGATTCCATTCATACGGAAAACAGAGATTTCGTTCATCTTTAACACAAAACAGGAATCTAAGTTTTTCATACTCGCCAGTAAGAAAAGTGACCTGCCTTTCCTTGAGAAATTGTCTCTATTATGCGCGGTAGCGATTATGTACATCCGTACTGAGAAGTTTTGGATTTAACCACCGACGCGAAACTAAAGGGGACAGTCCCTAATACATTTATTCGATTAAGCTATTTCGTCCGAATTCTTTTACAATTTGGGATCCTTTCTTCGTTACAGATCGCCTCTTAAACCTGATAACCTTACAAATATCGTACAGAAAAACATTTAAGATTTCAAATAGAGCTCACAACCGGCGGCTAAAAGCATGAGCTGCTATCCACTCGACTACTCCATTTTTTCGTTTATAAATGTACGTGTGTATTCATGTGCACAAGTGGCCTGCACAAACCATACTATTCGATTCTCACAAATATCCTTGAAGTTCTACTTCAACCAATGCCAACACAAAGGAATTACTTGTAGAGACATACATATTTACGTAGATTCCTTATTACACACATTTAGTAGTACAACCTTGTGAGCCTTTTCGATTTTATTGCATTCTGGGAGTATTGGTTGTTTGCAGCTGCTACAAAAGGATTTTCTTTCACTTGTCTACAGGAAGCCTTATACTAATGTGGGTACAACGGCTGTTAACTATGCGCATGCGCTGTAAACCAAATCTTGTGCAGGTTAATAGAAAATTAGAAAAAAGGTTTGGGGAGATTGTTTTGATATTTCTTTTTACCCAAATAGGTAATATTTTTCTAAATACATTGACGTGAATTTCAATAAAAAATAAATTTCCCTAAATAGAAGAGAAATGATTCTTTCAATTTAAGTATCATAAGTTTTTGAAATAGGTCTAATATCTCATTTTCATTTTATTCCTTTTTTTTGGTTTAATTTTAATTTGAAAATTTATAGCGGCAGTCATTTTCTATTACAGTGTAACAAACAACCCTAATATGTTCATACCCCCTTCTAGAATTTGAACACTCCGATTAATTTTCCCTACTTGCCCCTCCGCAGTTAGTACCATTATTCTTTTGTATTCGTAGACGAGTGAGTGCTTTGTTGTCTGCCGCTGTTGCTATTGTTTTTTCTCATTTGTTTGCCGAATAATTTTTTGCAGAGTCGTTCTTATTTTCGCGACCTTTGAAAGTCACTTTTACGTTCCTCTTTTAGCTAGATTTGTTTTCTGGTCACGGATTGGAATATTTTGGGTTTTCAACACTGATTTTGCAGCATTTGTTGGCTTTTGACTTGTTTTACGCAAACACTACACTATATTTTGCGAAGAGCAACAATATTATTGGGCGAAAGACGCATAATACTACAACCTCCCAAAATGATGACGAATCGGAGTCCACGAGCTGAAATTAGCTGGACCGTCATGACGTCACTTTGCGTTTAGCTGCGATTAATGACGGAAAGATTTTTGTCAAAATGAAAAGAACAACAGGAGCAAAACTAATTGGATTCACCAGAAGATTTTGACATATAAATAATTTTCAGCATTAACGAGTTCCATTCACAGAAAAGCAACCGATTTGTCCAATACCTGCAGTATGCGTAAACACCACCGAAGATTACGTGTATGATGCATTAATTAAACATTTTCGGTAGTTTTTTTTGCAAATTACGCTATTTTCAATATGTGTGAAAAAATTCACAATTTTCTGTTTTCTTTTAGGAATTTTCGCTTTGCTAACAAACACTTTGCACTTTAATTTTGCTGTTTTGCACAATAAACCCAAACACACACCGAAAATAGAGACGGATGCAGAACCAAACATCGGCTCAGCACGGAAGTGCAAGCAAGTACGCTATATACGCATCGGAGTGTCTCGTATTTTCTTGAGAGCGACGACACATACTATGACGCTGACTTCGGCGTCGTTGAACGTGCGCGAACATAAACAACCGAACCCAAGTAATAACAACAGGGCCAAATAGCAGAAATATTCACCATCAGTACAGAAAATTGTATCCGTCCATAGAAAAACAAGCAAACCGCTTAAACGCGTTGTTCAAAATATACTGAGCGCAGCTGATTTCTGCTGCAAATGTCAGTCGCAGAGCGTGAAACAAAAATGATTGAATAATTCGATAAATCTTGAGCCTGAAGATGGCAGTTGCCGTGAGTAACCATGGGTTAAGAATCTGATAAATTTTGTATGCAATATTTCAATTTTCAGGTATTGCTGTGCGTTTTCCAAATTCAAAAAGACTTCAGGGTACACAGGATCCTTCTAAGAATATCCCAGAAAATTATACCAAGAAAGCTAATAAATACAAGTTTTTTGCATTAATGGATTCCAAATAGAACTCGGTAAGTAAACGTCTTTCATGAAATGAACTTGTGTGGTCATAATTGTGTGTTCAACGATATATCTATGTTTAGTACAATCGATAAAGAGTTATGGAACTCATGTGTCGCATCACTGTTGACAGGAAGTAGTGTTGGTTAGCAGTCAACGGAAAAGTGTCAGCGTCACAGCATAATTCGAGTGAAATGAGATTGTATATATTTGAAATCACTAAATACAGGGTGACTGCAATAACAAATTTCGCAGCGTTAATAAGACCTGTATCGCTCTGTGTGGCGAAATTTTTACATAAGCAATATATTAAGGGATCATCGATAAACCACGTAGCTCGTCAGTCAAGAGAGGGCTGATGATGGTTATTGCTACATTATAGCGCTGTTATATATTTCTTTTTGTTACTAAATAAGTATTAGGAAATAATAAATAAAAAATGGTCAAAGGGAACCTTACGTTAGGCTATATAGAGGGAGGTAGAGAGAAGTAGGAATTTTTGAAATATGACTACCTGGCTTATGGACAATTCCTAATGAAATTTGATTTTCATGGACAAATTTCGACGGAAAAATGGTTAATTTTAATAATTCAAGCGGTGAAAATGCTTTGGTGCACAAAGCAAAAACCATTGAAAACTAGTATAGTTTTATTTGTTGTTAGTACGTGTTATAAAAGTGATTCTTTTTTACTCGCATTATTATATATAGCTCTTCCAAAATTGATTTATCTCCATTGTATTAATTTCAGTCCAAATAGTAATAATAATTAGAATATTTTCAAAAAGTTTTAAATTTCTTCCTCCAAAGGCAAAAATCACCGAAACTTAGGTAGACCCTTTAAGCCTTTGTAGTGCCAGATGTCACGCTGTCGTCGTTTTTCGCGCCGTCCAATTTTGAGTCCTCCTCTAGTCCTTTAACGTAAATAAAACACTTAAATTTTTTTGTTTGTCTGAATTACATTTTATTTTTCAGTTTATCACTCTCGTGTTGGGCAAACCAAATCTTTCGTAATGCCATTACCTTTCTGCATTCTTTACATAGAGTGCTGAACTTCCTGTCTTAGAAAGTATTTAATTTGTAGTGTTTTTTGTTTTTGTTTTCGTTTTCTTCATACATACTCGTATATGTATGTATATAATATAATTAGTATTTCACATATTGGTTTCAGTTTTAACGAACTCTAGGGTTTTATGCTGCATTTAAATCATTTATATTTCATTTATTTAATGTCTAATATTCAAATAGAAATCGTTACAATTTCCTTATACACACGCATGCACGTACACACACCCTTATAGGCTACGCTTACTTTACGTTACATTACTTTGCCCTATTTTGCTTTAACTTTTCTAAACGAAAAAAAAATTGCGTACAAATTTCTCGTTCTTCTGTAGGTCTACGATCCCCATCGCACTTTTATTTGATTTTCGAATTTAGTGTGCTTTTATAATACATTTTTCACTTCAAAACACATACATACATAGACAATTTATCCTACTTCTCAACATTAAAATCTAACACTCCAATAGCATTTAGTAACTATTTTTATATGTATATATCTTTATCCTTTTCTTTATATTTTTTAGAGAGAAGAGAATGAAATTAAATACAATAGTTATATAATATTTTTTAAATGATTTTAATGTGTGTTATAATTAAAAAAATATATTATACATGTGCTTGTATAAGTCTGGTATAAATTTTTCAACAAATAGGTGAATAGATGTCTCTTCATAGTTATAGTACTAAATTCTCTAACAATCTCCTCACGCTTTCCCACTTTTTTAATTGCAATTTTTTTTTGCCAAATTCGCTTCGTAATCATCGTTACAAGTTATTCTTACCTATTTTATACCTTTTATTCATAACAATTTGACATTTGGTAAATTTTATGCTATTTTTTGCAAGAATGAAAATCGTCCTTTTCTTGCGGGTATTTTTTTATTTCTTAATTTTTAATTCCTAAATTATCTGCACTAATTTGTTGTACGAAAGTGTATTTGGGAGGTTCGAAGTGATGGGTTCATTAATACGCTGACAACATTAGCAAATCGTGCGATTAACTAGAGGAAATTTTGAAGTGAAAATATTGAGAACAATTCGCAGAAGTTAAAATTCTAACAAATTCTAGAAAATGTATAATGAAGGCTGAAAAAATCGAAAATCTGAAAGTAAATATTGTATTATAAAAAAAAAAACGCAGACAAAATTTCACATGATCAAGCTTTGCTTGTATCACATATAAATTTGTCTTGTAGTTTTTTGCTTTCTGTAGCCACAGTTCGCGAGTGTAAGCCCTCAATATATATTAAAAATAGAATTTTATAAACACAAAGTTGAATATCTCGCACTACATATTTGTATGTATGTATGTACTTAACCTAATCTAAAATTCAATGCTCTAGTTTATCAAACAACATGCTCAGTTTAATTTTTATTTATTCTTTTGACTTATTTTAACATTTACTCCAGTTTTTATTTATATGTTTGTTGCAGTTTTGTGGTTTCTTAACTGTACTACAGGTATGTGTGCTCTTAAAAATGGGGGCTAAGCGTGTACATTTGTGAAAATTTCAAAATTATTGTTTCAGTTAAAATTGTTTTTTATTAATAACTTTGCTTGTGGTTCTTTTCACATACCGGTGTTTACTTTCGATTTGTTTATGTGCGGGGGGTATATTTTAGTGTGATCCGTTGCCTCATTTTTTCATGTTCTCATTTTTAGCATTTATTTCCGAAATTTTACTCACATTTTTCTTAGTTTTACTCTTATTTTTATTTTTATTTTCTCATTTAAATATTTATTAATTTGTCTCTACTAAAAATTTGAAGCAATACGTTTACGCTCTTAAACTCTATTAAAAATCTAATTTATAGCAGTGTTTCATTATTAATATTTTTATTACTATTATTTCACCCTTTTTTCCTTAACAATCACTCATCACTTTGATGTTTATTTTCTTTATGTTCTGCCTTTTTCGTTTCTAATACATTTTTTTCAAATACCGTGGAAATTCATTACAAAAATGTCTCTTAAATTATGTTTGCATATTCTTATGTTTGTATAGAGAGTAGATTCTAAGCAAAGTTGGCTGCAGTCAACAAAGCAAAAACGAAATAAATGAAAAAAAACAAGAAGTTTATCGCGCAGATAACTGTATAAATATTTACAAATCAACACGTTTCAATAAGAAATCGACAGCTAAAAAAAAAAACATTTTCATTGTTTAAAAACCGACAATTTTTTAGATCTCTTCTACAATTAATAATTTTTTTCTTCAAACTTTCTTTATTTTTTTTATTTGCTTAATCTTCCTGCCCCATTTGTGTTTGATGGCTTTAGTTTGACTTGACGCTGCTCGCAGTATGCATACTGTATAATACAAAAACAAAGAATGCAGCGACAACATAACTCGTTGTTGCGTTTTACTGCATTTAATCTCAAAAATGCTTTGGCATTAGCACAGCGTTACAAAATTTATAATTTCTGTATTAAGCTTAGGAAAATTATTTTAAGTTTTCGCATTCTCAACCATTTATATATGTAAATACATATATGCTTGGATTTTTTATTTGTAATTTAAAACAAAAAAAATACGATCGATAAAGCTTGGAAAATAAATATTTTTTCTTCCTTTCTTTCTTTGTATACCAAAAATTAGTAAGAATACCGTTCAAAATTTACTGCTATCGTACAATTACGTTTTTTCATGTTTTCCTAAACATTAGCTTTACATCCTCATTGTATTTTTGTTTCTTTTTTTACATTTTATTACATTTTTTTCAAATTTTCTTTTTTACTTTTCCATATGTACTCGTATATGTGTGTATATAAGTCAATTTGTTCATTTTTTTCACTTGCTTTACATAGTAGTTATTTGCATTGATTTTCATTTACAACTACAATTAATTAGTAATTACTTAGTAGAAATTAATAGCTTGCCTCATGGCCGGCTAGAATGTAAAGATCATGTCCCTCTTCGCTGCCCAGCGAGCCGGTGCGCAGCAATTGACTCTCCAAAGCAACGACTCTGTGTGGGAAGGCCAAGAGAAATAAATATATTAATGAAAAAGAAATTATGAGATGCCATTTGTAGTTGTCATTACTTATCACAGCCGAGCAGTCTGTATGTGCGACTCATATCCTTTATCTCTTGTGTTATTTCGCCGTTGCGCAACGACTTGCCCTGCATGCCGTGCTTATGGAATGCTAATACACTATCGGGTAGACAGACTGTTTGGAAGAGGAGTACCAAGTAGAAAAAACAAGAAATTATTAAAATACAAATATAATTTTATTGAAAAATGAAGAAAACGAAAATGTATAAGCCCAAGTTTTTAGTCAACAAAATCGAACCCATCTGCCGTTTTGCAATAGGAGAATTCCTTATGAAGAAAAGCCTGCTTGACGACCCTCCTACCTATGCTATCCACATTGAAATCGAAATTGAGCTGCGAGACCATCTTTTTGTGTTGCTTCGGGTTACCCTGCAGCGTAACAACTTGAATGATGTTGCCATAGCAGACTAGTATCGCATCCTTTTCGACTTGATGGACTTTCACCACCTTCAAGAGATCGCGTCGCGGCACCATTGTAGCCATTGCATCAAAATCCAAATCATCTGCATGGAACCAGCTGGCACCTAGCGAAACAAAAAAACGAAAGAAAAGAAAAATTAACGTCTCTTGCTAATCGTTGGAAAGCTTTCCACTTACTGTTCATATTGATCAGTTCGAGTTTGAGGCAACCATTCAACGCCTTTCGCACGCCCGTACACACAATCGGATACTCCAGCTCCGGCGTAATGATCATCTCAAAGACGGGCGTGTGACCATTCAACACACAGCCGTGCCCACCGCCCAGTATGCTCGTGGCCGGCCACTCGCATTGCTTGAGCAGCATGAATTTATTCAGCGGATCGTACCACTGCATGAGAAATATGCCGCTGGGCGTGGCGCCGCACAAGTACTTGTAGCCATTGTAGGGGTTGCGTGTGACGCAGCACTGGGTGCAGCCTTTGGTGTCGGGAACTTTGGTGGTGAGCGCGAATTTGCGTGGCACCAGTCTTTCAGGTATTTTGTTCATGTGCAGCGAGAAGCGGTGTGTCTGTTTGGAATGCAGGGCGATCAGATCGTGTCGGTACAGCTGACACGATTTGCCTGGAGAGGAGTGGAGAAGAGTAGTAAATATATATAGCTTAAAATATAAATAATGTAATGTCGAGTACCTGAAAGGCTCATGAGCACATCCTTGATCACATACAGCCAGGTGGTGCGACGAGGGAACAGTTGATCAATGACGGCATCGTGCAGCTCGTTCATATTTAGATTGAAAATACCCTCGTCGGCGCCAATGAGTAAGTGCTGGTCGCGCGTCTCGGGATGGATCCACGAGGCCGTGCAGTGTATGCGTAGTGGACAGCCGTTGAAGATCTTTGAAAAACATGCGCCCATGTGCACCTTGGGCGTGGGCGGTAAACCATTGGAGATGGGGCGTGGCGGGGTGTGGCGACGACGATGAGATCGCTTCGGAGGCACGGGTGGCGTATTGTTAAGCAGATCCGGTTGCGCTTCTTTTTCCACTGCAAAGAATTTAAAATCCAGGTTGCCATTTGGTTAGAACAAAAATTTCAATGAGATGACCACAACGGCAGAGCTTACCTTCGTCCTCCTGTGTACCGCCATCGCTGAGGCTGCGTGTCCTTGAAGATTTGCCCATGTCATTGAGCAGGCCAATCAGTTGGTCCATTGAGCTGTGACGGCGTGGTGAATCTTCCAAACCATTCTGTGGCGAAAAAGGCTAAAATTAATAAGTGCGAAGCTCATTGAGCACAGTGAAGGCCCGTCAAAAAGGATGCACAAACGCACCTGATTACTCTCGTGTCTATAATCACAATTGTTGTCGATATTGCCATCCAACGGTTGGCCTGATGTGGGCGTGCACTCTCCCGAGGCTGAAGCTGAACCTCCCGCTGCTACGGCGTTCGATGTGTTGCTCGTTACTGTTGTGGAGGAAGTTGCAGCAGAAGCTACACCAATTGCTGTTGTTGCTGTTGTCGAATCGGTGACTGAAGTGTTGCTATTAAAATAATTGGCGCCATTATTACGAAGAAAATGAGAGAATAGATGTGACGTGGAAGCAGAGGAATGCAAAAGCACATCGCGAGCAAACGCGGTTGTGGACGTGGACGCGGACGTGGATGACGAAGGCGATGGGGAGGCGCCAACATCGCCAGCGACACCAACACCACCAAAACCACCAGCACCACCAACACTACCTATGCCACTCCTACCAACACCTAACACACCAACACCAACACCACTACCGACCCCGCCACCACCACCATTGGTACTACCACTAATACTTTTATCACCACCACTCAAGCCGAAGCCAACGCCTCCACCGCCACCGCCACCGCCGCCGCTGTCGCAACTGAAATTATCCAGCGGATTGTAAAAGGACGAGGACAACGATGTATATTGCGATTGGCCATTGAGTTTGGATGTCGTTTCGTAAGAGCTATTGCTGTTGGATGATGACGCCGAAAGCCCGATGACGCTGGTCGAACGCGAGTGATTGCTGCTGCCCCCGCCACTGTTACTGTTACTGTTGCTGTTGTTGGTGTGGTGTAAGTAATGATGATGACGATGGTGATAATGAGACTGCTGCTGCTGGTGGTGATGTTGCGACTGTACATGTGTTGCCTGCTGTCGCGCGCTATTATCGTGGTTAGAACTAGAGCCCACAGCATCGACCGAGGTGGTGCGCATATTGGAGAAGCCAAAGTTCAGACCCAAGTAGGCGGACATCGAATGCGCCAAACCGCCTGGGCTCGAGCCGGAGAGCAAATCGCCGACGTCGCTGCCGTTAACAGCGCTGGTGGACGTTGAAGCCGAGGTGCTGCTCATCTCAGAGGCCGATGGCATTTTGGCATCGTTGGCGCCACCGCCACCACCGTTCTCTTTGCTGTTGCCATTCTCGTTGCTGCCGTTGTGCGCGCAGTGACATTCAGTGCTAAGCAGATCTTTGGTGTCGGTTAATGGCAGAGTGGCTCTGTAAGGATGTGAGCAGTGATCAGCGTGCGAGCGTTCATTGAGATTAATATATGAGGCATGAGGAAGAGTGATTGATGGCATCGGACACAAGAAATGTGGCGAAATGTGTTGCAGCAAACGAGATTCAAAGAGAGTGAGAGTGAGAGAGATAAAGAGAGGAAGAAAAGAGAAAGGCGACAAATGAGCAGTGATTGAATACGTGAGTGTGAGAGAGTTTATGCGCCTAAATGTATGCTATTTCGTGTGTGTGTGTGTATGTCACTCGTTGAGGATTATGGAATATTAAACTATTTTTTGCTTATTACGAGCATAAACAAAGCTTAATTTAACGTGATCAGGTGAGTTTGATGTGGTGTGTTGATTATGAATTTTTGTATCTGTTCTTTTTGCTCATATTTGTTTTTGTATTTTAGTTGATAATGAAATTAATAATGCAGCTTTTCAATATTAAATTCAATTGAACTTAATTGATTAGTACCGTTATGCGGGCACGGGTTTAGTGGTTGTTGTTGTTGTTGTTGTTGTTGCTCTTGCACATTTTCGATGAAAATTAGTTTAGTAAATGTAATGAAAACTCATCGTAAATACAATAAAAAGTTAGATAATCAAATTATAATTATTACATATTATACAAATGTACACATATATGCACATATATACACATATTAGTTAAATCAAGTAAAAAGTATTATTTGCACACGAATAAATGGATGTACTCGTACATAAACGAGTATGTAGCAATCACATAAGGACACAAAAACAAATGAACAGAGACACGAAGGACATGCGTTGGCGTTCAAATATTCATACGTCGAACGAATGAAAAAACCCGTTGGTTGGTTGTTACTGTGTGGGGTCTGGTGATTTTGGTTGTGTTGTTTTCTTCAATTTTTTTTTAGGTTTGTGGTTTTATTTGCGAGTACATATTTCATGTGTTGCGAAAGCATTAAATGCGCTGAGTAAATAATCGTTAAATTTTATATCTCTTATATTATTAACTAGTTATCATACATATATTTAAAACGAGAAATTCAACAAAAATTTCTAAAAACTGATTGATAACTACAACTCCAAACATTACTGTTACAGAAAACTTTCCTATGCCTTACAAAATTACCATAAGATTGCATTAAATTAAATATGTAGTTAGTCAAGTTTCCGAAAATGTTCTACTACTTGATGTTAGAAAAAACGGCTATAACTTAAAATTATAAAAAGTTCACTATAATTCGAAAATATGCTGGAATTTGTAAATTTGCTGCAATTTAAAAGTTCAAAAATCTATTATAACTTTCAAATTTGCTTTAATTAAAAAGGTTTGCTATACTATGCTATCCGAGTCGTAAAGTAGCAGCCAAAAAGTTAATTGAAAAAACCTTTATCTTGAAGCTGGTGAATTTACTTGTATTTGTATGCAATATTTTAATCTATTTTTTACCCTTAATCCAGAAAAAGATGAAAGAAAAATCTACTCTACACAATATTACGATTTTCTGATTGACTTAAAGTCTATCATAACCATAAATTTAATAAAAAATAATTCCCTCAATCTATCAATAATTCAAAATTTATTATCTATTTTTACCTAAAAGGAATTTTTTTTAATTTGTACCTCTTGGAAAACTTACTTTGTTTTTGAAATTTTCATGTCAAAAAATTGTAATTAAAATTAATTTTTGCATTAAAAGTTTAATAAGTTTTTAGGCAAATCCCTCAAGCAAATAAATAAATAATCTCCCGATTTTTGAACTTGACCCAAATGCTTGTGTGCATTTGTGTGTGGGTGTGGATGAGTGAGTGTCTGTGGATACGCACTATCTAAATGGTTAATGTTTCCCTTGGCCTTTAGATTTGCTTTTAACTGCATTTTAATATTCTGATCACACACACACACACACACACACACACACACACACAAACGCATGATTGCATAAAAATTTTCATATTTTACACATTTGTCGTTTGTGGATTAAAGCGCAATAAACAATAAAACAAAGAAAAAAAATGCAAATACCGTCTTGAAGGAAAACCAAACAAGGAATGCGTAAAATTACTGTTTTGATAAATACACGTATAATACAAAAAAGGGGCGGGAAGTGGTGGGGCATGCAAATTTTTAAGTCAGACAGAAAAGTTTACACTAGATATGAACATATGCACATATTTACATAATGCAATGTGACAAATATACAAGTGCATGTACATACGGTTATGTATGTTCATACGGTATGGTATGTGTGCAACAACAAGACTAAACAAGCAAGCAAATGAAACATACAAGTAAAGATTATTATGCATGAGCAAAGGCAATATACAAATCCACTCACAAACATGAGAGCAAATAAAATAACGATATACAACAACAAAAATGAATATGAATAAAAAATGTAAAGTTAAATAAATAAAAAAAATGTACAGCAGCAGCTTGACTTGCATGCAAATATTGCATAAATCTATGAATAAACAAGAGATAAATATGTATGCACGAGCATATATGCAAAGGCGACTATTTCCGACGAACAAATAAACAACTAGAATTGAATTAGTAGTAGTAGTAGGTAAATATAGGTCCAACTGGTATTTATGGCATCAATAGCGAACTAGAACCATACCAGTTACACTCGAATTAGACATCGAAACCAGAACATACCTCGAGTATAAATTTTTTTATCTTTATAAGTTGGTATTCGCAATCGAAGAGAGAATGAGATCTCAGCTAGTATAAATGAACAGAACAAAAACGTGGTACCGTGAGCTCAAAGGGAAAAGTACCAATTTATATAAACAGCGAAAAAAAGTAGAGTGTTCACGACAATAAAAACGCTTTCCCAGCACATTCCATGGACTTAATATTTTTGCCAACAGCCTGGAATCTATTTAAGAGCTTAGTTGTCAAGCGTTACAAAGTGACGTGTGCTCAGTTCGGTAAGCAATGGGTTCTGTAATGTGGGAAATATCAGGCAGCGCGAGATCGTTGATTTGCTTTTGAGACTATGAGGTTTTATGACCGATTAGCCCAACAAGAACGAATTGGGGTTTCAAACAACACTTTAATAAATCCCAATAATCATTATGCAAATTTTTCCAATCAAACAGTTATAACCTAAGATTAGGATTATTTTGTAGAATTTACATATACATACATAATTTCTCATTATCTGTGAGCAAAATTTGATATTGGAAATTGCTGACCAAGCATTGTTTGCTTAAAAGCATATAAAAGTTTAATGTATTGTAAGTTGTGTGGTGTAAGTACATACGTATGTACATACATATGCCGTAAAATTGAGGGGAAATGGATAATAAAACTACCAACGAACACACTACAACCACAGGGAAAGAATATATTGAAGGGGATTTCTTTGAGCGTAGCGTCCTCCGGGTGTCTCCAGTGAAGGGATAATGAGCATCTAATATTTACGCAACAATTTTGCATGCAAACATCAAGAGAGAGAGAGTGAAAAAAGAAGTGGATAATAATAAAAATAAAACATAGAAACCGTAAATAAATTGTAGATAAAAGAAAATTGATGGCTGATGGGTGAAAAAGGTCACCATAATGGAACAATTTATGAACTATGCATGGCTAAAATTGATGATGCTTGCGCTATGCGGTATGTGTGTACGCGTGTGTAGTTTTTTATGTATATGAATTTAATGAAATGTGAAGCGAATTTATTACGATCACAATAATTACATTAAATTTGAATCGAAAGGACCAAGGCAAAATTAAACGTTTTGTAAATAAAATTTTGAAAATTATAAAAAACACTAAAAAATTCTTTGTTTTAAACAAGGAAGCCTACTTTGAACGAAACCCAAGTAATCTATGGATAAATACCAAAATGCGGCACTCTCGTGTTCGCTTCGCTACGTTTTTTTTTATTAGCAAGCGCATAATTTTGCAAAGGTTCTTTATAAAATAAAACCTAAATGATTTTCGAATAAAAATATATAAAGCAATAAGTAATTATAATAAAAGATTATATTAAATAAATAAATAAAAATATAAAAGTGATTAAATATAATCTAAAACAGTTAAAGGAAAACCGATTTATATATATATATATGTTTGCTTGAATATGATCGTCGCAAAACGTATGCTTCTGTTCTTCTTCTTTAAATTCGATGTTTGAGTGAAGCATTGAGCTTTTTGCAAGGGGGAAAAGGGTGTATATAAAATATATATGTATGTGTGCATATGCATTTGCACATACGTGTAGTTTTGAAAAAATACTTAGGTTGGGGTGGCGGTTATTTGTTATTGTTGTAGTGGTATTTGTAGTAAGTATTTACCTTAGCTTTAACTCCTCATCAATATACTGTAAGAGGCTCCTACAAATATAACACAAAAACAAAATGCAAGAAAGAAAAAATTGACAAAAAAAAGAAACAACAATAATAATGAGAGAATAATATATACATACATACATCAAATATAAATACAATCGATATACAAAATTCCAAAATACATATTTAATTGCTGTGTCAAAAAACTAAAAAATTAAATAAATATATATATTAATAAAAAAAATAAAAATTTTAAGTTTAACGAGAAAAGTTTATTAAAAAGCAATGCAAAAATCACTACAAATTGAGCGAAGAGTTGTTTAGAACGGAAAGAGGGTATATAAAGAGAGAGGGCGAATATTCTGCGAAGCGATCAGTTAAGTTTAGAGTTATTAAGTCAACTTTATAAAAAGAAACTGAAAAAATAATAACAAATTTGAAAATTTTATATAATAAAAACTAAAATTATATCGTTTATACTCATTGTATTCCGAATTCATTAAAGTGTGAGTAAAAACTCGGTTAAAAAAAATAAAAAATTGAAAAAAAAACTGCATTACAAAAAAATATTTCAAAAATTTTTTTAACTTTTTTATATGTAAAAAAAAAAATGGAATAGCAAATTCTCAAAGCACAAATCTTTTGAGTAAAAGTGCATTTTTATAACACAAAATCGCACGAGAGGCGTTTGAGTGTTGTTGCGTTGCCGAGGCGAGCATTCATTCGTCCATTCAGCTATTTAAGCAATTCGAGATTTTTCATTTATTCAGCTAAAATTCAAAAATCGAATTGGACACACGCTGTGCACAAAATAAAATGCGACGAGAAAGAATTGCAACAACAACAAAGGCAAAATCAAATCGAATTTCGTGTTCATTGCGTATAGAGTTTCAATACCGAAACAAATAAAAATAAATTAAAGTTGAAAATACTGTTTCTTTCACAGTTAAGCACAAATAAGCACACTGCAGCTGTAAGGCATATACATATCTACGTCTTTATTGCCAAATCATTGACAGCTGCTTTCAATATGAGCGCATCTGTGTGTTTGTGTATGTGTGTGTGTGTGTGTGCAGTTTTTATATGTATGTATTTGAGCATGTGCTGCCTCTGGACTGTGAAGAAAAATAATCAAATGTTCACGTTTGTGAATGAAACAATTTTATTTGTATTAAAGTGCCTTATGCGAGTCGGGAATATTACTCGCTTGGTAAAAAAGTTAAAATTATTAGTAAATAAGTTATTCTAAGAAAGTATCATTTCGCGTCGTGTTCATCTGTGGCTATATTCATTTCGCGTCGTTTTCAGTAGATGACATTTGTTTTAGCGTGAACAACAATTTGTTTCATTGATAATGTGATTTTGCGGGGAGTTCTTCTTCATTACATTAACATGAAGAAAAGTGCCACCGAAAGCCATCGTATTTTACTGGACGTTTATGGTGATCATGCTTTAGCCGAACGAACGTGCCAAAAGTGGTTTGTACGGTTTAAAAGTGGCAGTTTCGACTTAGACGACGGACAGTCAAAAAAATTTCAAGATGAAGAAGGAGATATTGCTTGACGCAGACGCATGCCAGATGTAAGAAGAACTTGCAAAAGTATTAGGAGTTGATCAAGCAACCGTAAATGGATAATTTAAAAATTGTTTATCGTTTAAAAATATTGTAACTCTTATTAAATTTTATTTTATTTTTCAAAAAACTGTGTCGTCTCTTAAAATTGTCTGCTCAGTTGGGTGCCAGTGATTTGTTTATTTGCTTTATGCTATCATGAAAAAAAAAATTACAACCGACGCACATCTACCTGTTTTGTGTGTGTGTGTGTGTGGGTGTGTTTGTACGCGTGTCGTGCGACTTTTGGTAGGGCTAGACTTTTTCAAATAAATCTACTGTTATTGTACATATATGTATACGTGAGTTAATATATTGGTGAACGGAGATAATTTTCAATTTAGTTAAAATTTCTGTTAAAATACCATAAATTAGGGTAAATTTGTGTATTTTTGGAAAAAAAAACCTTGATACAATATAATAATTATCTTATTAAAATATAATAATGTCACGTAACGAAACATGGAAATTTATTCCAGTAAATATCTTTATTTGATGTCGAATAATTCAATGAAAACAAAATTTGCCACAATTTATATAAAATTACATAAGCGGCATTAGCCAAATGTCACTGGAAAAATAATATAATATTTTTTTCTGAAGAGAATTTTGCTTCACCATACATAAATCGTGCACTTAAAAATTTTCATAAAATTTCTCCAAAAAAAAAAGGGAAAGAAAATATAGTACGATAAAATAAAAATATATGAGATAAACGAGAAAAATAAGTAAAGTGAATTAGCAAATTACATGAAGCGAAAACTTTTACAAAATTTCATTTAGCGCGTTGCCAACTCTGCGGGGCGGTTGGCGCAGGGCCGTGCGCATTAGCACTAAACATGCAATAACAGGATGCCAGAATTTAAAATACAAAAACTCAACCATAAATAGAGAAATAGAAGAAAATAGAGAAACTGAAAAAAAGGTCAAAAAGCAAATGCGAAAAATATAATTTGAAAGTAAGCAATGCGCGAGAATCGCAGAAAATTTTTGATACTACAAATACATTAGTATTCGCACACATTTACACGCTCAAGAGTTTCATACACAAATAACATACATACATATGGCAATGTTGGCCTGCAGCAACAATCAATTTGCGTAACGGAAACTTAACCGTTGGCGCGCCGTCAAGCGTAGCAGCGAGCGGCGGGCTAATTTTTTATATACATATATTATACTATTTTGCGCTGCAAAGTTGCAAGGTTCGCTAATAGCGCAAGCTTGTTTTTTTATTGCATATTTGCAGGCGTATTTACACTTTTTTCGTATTTCCCACTAATATTTCTGCACGCTAGCAATAGACCGGAAGCAAATTATTTACGAAAAAGGGGCAGCGCAAAATTAGAAACTCGAAATATGGAAAAATCATGCGCAAAACACAAAAAATATATTTAAAAAGAAAAAGCGAAGCGAAAATATAATATATATTTCTTTAGAAAAAAATGCTTTGCAACAATTGTAGTAGCTAGTTATGTATCACACTCTGTACTTGTGCGTATGTGTGCGTGTACTTTTTCAGTGTTTGTGTGAGCCAACCTTAAGGACATGTTCATTATCAAAGTACCGGTAAGTTTTTGGCGACGCGCTGCGACGTTGGCTAAGGGACTACAAAATAAAAGAGAGAGGAAACAATTTTCGGGAGAAAAAATTAAATAATAAACATACAAAAATGTAATTATAATTAAAAAAATTAAATTGAAAATGATTGAAAAAATGTAAATTGGCAAATATTGAAAAGCATGAGAGTGGAAAGTAAAAGAATAAAAATTGTGATATATTGTACATGAAAAGAAAAATATTTCCCGCAAATGCGTATATAATTTGCTTATGAAATTTATGAAAAATAGCAAATGGTCAGTTTTATTACTTTTTAAAGAAAATTAAAGAGTCTAAACTTAATGATTGGTTTTTAAAGCTTAAATCATAAATATCTTCATTAAATATAGATACATAAATGATTGTATTTGTGTATATTTGTATGTATGTAGTAGGTGTGATGAATATTCGACAAAATGTGTTAATATATGTATATGTATGTGTTGATTTTTTTGTGCGCGTGAAGTTCTGTTTTCGATCTCCATATGCTTTATGTGCAGTTATGTGTGCCAACATTTGTATGTATGTACGTAGTTTGTCTTGTTAATGCGTATATGCCTATCAAATGTGCGATATTCAAGAGAAAATGTTTCAGCCGGAAATAATACGTAAAGACAGCAAAAGCTCAAAAAACAGAAAACACAGAAATTCTTATTCTTGCACAATGTTGTTATGCTGTTATGTTTTGGTTTTTGTTATTGTTACATTCGTGGTATGCGATGTATAAAGCAATTATTTAGACGAACAGGAAATTGAAGTATACTTTCAGGCGATTTTTTTTTTCATTTCTCATTACAGAACACTTAAACACGGGCGGACGTGTAGCACAAATATACAGTGAGAGAGTAAAAAACATTTTTTTTTTTTGGTTTGCAAATTGAAATACAAGTGTTTGGTAAATATTCATACGTAAATACGTATTTAGGATTATATAATATGGCATTAGCTGAAATTGTATACGTACATGTCGCTGGGTAAAGTTTCGGGACTAGATGAGCGATCATTCCACTGTGAGTTCGTCATCATGTCTGCAATGGAAAGAGATTTTGTTAGTACTTTTATGTAAATGAAAAAGCAATAAAAAATGTAAAACCGCAACAAAACACTTTGTTTTTGAGCTTCAGTGGATTAAAAATAGAAAAAATAAAATAAAAAAGATGTATGAAAATTACAAAAAAAAAGAAGAAAAAAAAAAACAAATTATATCAAAGAATTACTAAAGTGCAAGTTGTGTCAAAGTAAAAGGGAGTTAATAAAGCGTAAAGTGCTTCAGAAGACTTTGTGGTTTGCAAACGAAAGGGAGAAATGAGCCACATACAAGGTTTTTTAGAAAATCATAGATCACAGTTGTACACGCATATACATAATTTTAATTTACGTGGGTTACCTGTTTGACACTTACCTGTTTTCAAAGTGTGATTTTGCGGTGAAATACCATTTGGTCTTGATGTCATTTTACTTGCTATTCGTTGTGGTACGCTGGCGACGGTCTAGTTTTGGCATTCGTGATTTTTGGCAGTTTTTTTTTTTTGGAAATTGTTGGATAAAATGAAAATAAATTAGAAGAAAAAAATTATAAATATCACTTTAACTTTTGTTGTAATAAATTTTGCTTTGATTATTTTTCATTCCCTTTATTTGATTATTTTAACATTTAAAATTTAGAAAAAAAAATATTTGTGATATTTATTGAAGTTAATGGCTAACAATTCAATATCTTTAGAAATATTCTACTGAACTAGTCTTTTGAAAAAAAAACTGAAATATATATTTTTATCGATTTTTTTTGAATGAAAAATTGCTAAGAGGTTGCAACAGCTCTAATTTATATCTTCGATATTCATATATTAATACATAATTGATTCCCTTACTCTCATCTTAGAAACAGCACTAACAAAGCATATTTCCCATCAGTAGATATATTTTTTGTTCAATAAAACGTAAAACGATAAAAGTAGAATAGACAAAAGATGATTTTTTCTTTTCACAACAGAAAGAAATAGACTCTTCAATACAAAGAAATAATTCAATACCGGAGAGGGAGCTTCCATTTCTAAATTGGATAGTATTTTGTAGCAATCAATCAATCAATCGATAAAAGCTCCGGCTACAATTCGCCTAATGAAGGAAATATGCAAATAACAATAAAATATTCGAATTGACAAAGGTACAACAACAGCAAAAAATAAAAAACCTGAGCGGCCGACAAGGTCGATGCAACGTTGTGAGAGTGTGTGTGTGTGCATGTGAAATATCGTGTGTCCGAAACAAGTCTAAAACGTCAGGGGAAATTTTATCATATGTATATACTACATGTACAATATAAAATAAATTTATGACAAGCAAAAATTGCGAAAATTTTCGAAAATCACCAAAAATTGCTGTGGTCAAATAAAACTGTCAGACAAGCATCTGAGCAAATAAAATATGTTTGTTAGCAATGAAATGTTATATTTTGTATTGCTAGTTGCCTAAAGAGCTCTGAAAAAGTATCTACAAATTTTTCAATCAAATTCACCAACCAACGAAGTGCGGAAAATTGCTGCATGCAGGGGAGCGCACACTTCAATTTCAACCGAAATTTTGTACCACAAATTTGAGTTTGCCAAATCAACAGCTTAAAATGATAATATTAAGCCGCCAACGCCACTGCCGCCGCAAAAGCTTATGGCCCGTGTGCTGGTTTCGAATGAAACACATTTTGAACTATGCGACTCTCAAATCTACATACACATGCCTATGCGTATGTACAGCGTCAGTGCGAGCACAAGTACGCGAAATACACTCATATACATACATACCACATACGTGTGGAAGTCAAAGATCGAAAAGTATTTACTGAACAATCAATAAATCTAATTGAGCGCCGAAATGACAGAAGCGAAACGTGAATGTACCGTTAGAGAAAAGAATGGGTATGCAAACACTCTACGAAGATAAAGGCGATAAACACGTTTCGGTAGTTTTGTAACTATAGTCGAGTGTGGAGTTGGTGGCTTAATATCGCGGTTTATAATTAAAATTAAATAAAAAGTGGGAAATAACAATTACATTTTACTTAGTTGATGGCTCCTAAAGGTATGCTACGTTCCTTCCTAACAAACCTATGCACGTATGTCTGCCCATGTTTTTGAAAATTTTGTCATAATTTCTGTCTCTTGAGCGTTTCAAGTGTGCTCGCCTCTGCTCACCTCCTTTCTCATCTCCACTTTTCTTCCTTTTATTCACTTCTTCCGCCCACACATTTAAACCACTCCATTACTTTCTTTCAAATTAATATAGTTTCTTGTTTCCTTTGGTTTGCTGTCTGATTTATCCTTTGTCTTTCCGTCTTCTACTTCGGTTCTTTTGTTCTCAAAATTTTTACAAAACTCTCCTCTCCTTTCTTCGTTGTTTTTTTTTTTTAATACACTAATTTCCCCTTCGGAAATATTAATTTTCTTATTGATCTCCTGGCAAACTCACCTCCTCCTCCCCATCCAAATAGTAGTAGAATTGTTGATTTGGACTTAAGAACTTTTGCAGCAACTCCTTCGCCACACGCACCGACATCTCGCCCTGCACGAACGGATGCCTCAGCAGACACTCGGCGGTGGGACGTTTCTTAGGATTCTTCGTTAGCGCCGTCTTGACGAAATTATGAAATGTGGGACTCCATTTCTCCTTGTTGCTCAGTGTGGGCGGTTTGAAACCACTTTTCGACATCAGAAACAACGCACGCATCGGATGTAAATCGAACATTGGCGGCTGCAGTTCGGCGAGTTCTGCAGAAACGGATAATGAGAAGAAGATATCACAAGTATTCAAAATAAGCTTAAAACATGTTTCGTACTAGAGCCAAGAGATTAGAAGTAATTATGTAGAAAACACAAAATAGAGATATGTCTTAGCATTTGGCACTTAAATAACCGCAGAAATTTCCATAAACTGCAAATTGTATTGCGGATGACAAGAGTCAACCTCAAAGACCATAAAAATAAGCTGAATTGATTGTTGTAGAGCCTTCGCAGGCGGACGTGTAATGAAATTAATGTTGGGCCATTAGGCGAAGAAACGCGAGCTGCCGTTTGTATGCGTGAACACGCATGACCAACACACCCACACGCACACGCGCGCGCCCGAGTAAGGAAAACACTAAAGAAACAGGACGCACTCAGCGCAAAGCACTCTACGCCATAGGTGTGTGTGTGTGGTTTTGTGGGTTTAATGAAATTCTGCGGCGAGTGACCCCATTAAAAGTGCAATAACTTAGGTATCAACTCTCGGCGGCAAATAACGGAAATAAACAACAACAACAACAAACAATAGACATATTATTACACACTAGTAATAATCAATTGGCATAAGCTTAGACTCGGCAGAATAGAGGATTTATTTATGACTGAAGCAACAACAACAGCAGCAGAATATATTAGGTTATTTGTCATTTTTTTATTGTTGCTGTTGTTGTGTTGTTAGAATAAATTATATTCAACGTGCCGTTTTGGGTATATATGATATCGGTGTATATATGTACATATATATATGCGTATATCTGTATGTGTAGTCTCACCAATTGCCGTTATGCCAACCGCCCATATATCACATAATTGGTTGTAGCCCCCCTTGCGCTCCACGGCAGCCACCTCCGGCGCCATCCAGTACGGTGTGCCTGTAAAGAGAGGGAGAGCATAAGAAGTGTATTATTTAATGCAATGTACACAATTTACAGTTAGTTTAAAATTTAGTTTTAAGATTTTTGTTTACAAATAATAATTCAACAGCAAAAATAACTGTCATTTAATTGAGTTGAACTTTTCACTTCACACAATCCCTTCGCACTCTTATGATGCACACAAACCACCATAACCTGTAGGAAAAAAGTACCAGTTGTGAACTAGAATGCAACTAGTTGGTATTTTTGAGCTAACCATTCATCATTGCTTCATATTAGGGAGAGAAATCTTTAACACTGCAATGTTCCTCGAAATCTATCATGTTGAATGATCCCCAGAAATGAAAATTAAAGTAATTTGACCCGGTGGCCGAGTTGCGTACTAACAATTGGAAGGCAAGCGTTCAAGACCTGTTTCGTACTCGACCCTCAGCAGAGAATGTCAAGCCATCAGAGTGCATTTCTGACCAGAAAAACTTTTAAAATACTGGTATTTTTACCTACTAGTTCAGCTTCTCACTGCAGCTCGTGTATGTACAGTCTCGAACGGCTTTGCCAATGTGGCTGTGGTTTATTTACAACATTTTAATTACAAGTTGATTTAATAAATTTTCTGTCGGCAACAATTTTGAACAAACTTGCAATTAGTATGGCTGCATAAATTATAGCACCAGAGGCCAACAGCCAACATAGGCGCTAAGCAACAGTTACACTCATACCAACACACAACATATGTTGGTATGTTTGCTTAAGTGGCAATGGCAGGAGTTATGACACTCTGGGCGTACATGGCGTATGAGTGATGGGCGAATTCAGTTGACAAGTGAATTTGCGAATTTTCGAAATTGTATGCATATATTGCATGAGGTGGGCGTGGAAACTCGAATTTTCACAAATTTTAAACAATAAAATATTTTTTTTTGCGTGAAAGCTTTTAACAATGACACTAAAAGGTTTCAATTTGGTAAATATAATAATAAAATAAAGGAAATAAGTTCTACAAACAGGAAATATGTATACTTTTTGCTTTAAATTTATTTCATGATCGTTTGATAAATAATCAGCGATTATTTTGTATTATTAATGGGCTTAGAAAGGAATATTTGATTGTTATTTTCGGCCTAGTTATGGATCGTTTCCGAACTTCTGTTTGTTTCCCAAATGTAAAGGTTTTTTTATGGAATAAATCAACTTGAAATATTACCCAAATCAAAAGCATGTATTCAAAAATCATATCATTATCGAAAAAATAATTTGATTACATTCTTTTAGCCAGGATTTCGAAGTGACCCTTTCAAATTATATTCCTGAAACTGATATGGACAATATGAAATTGCGAAATAATTTCGTTTTGTCTTACATTTGCAATGAAATTGTGTCAGTCGCACATGAACACGCACATTCACAAACAGACACTTCAAAACACACAGAAGGCGTGTCAAGCGACATGAGTTTGCATGCATTATTGCTCCACAATTTATACTACATTTAATTGGCAGCATATTCCATAGGAGCATGACATTTGCACACATAAAGAGAATATCTAAAAGCATTATTTAACTCAATTAAATTATTGTTGTTATTGTTTTTAATGGCATTATGAAAATCTGGAAAATTCATTGAAAATTTAGTAGATAAATTAGTGCATGAAATGCAGTAAAATGTAGTGAAAAATAACAGTAACCTTGGGGAACGCTATGAAATAAGGCAGAGAAATTTTTGAAAAATAATGAATAAATAAGAAAACGATAGAAGAAATGTTTCATTTAAGACGCGATACACCACGGTGCACGCGTTGAATGGACTTCAGTCGCCACACGTCACTCATACGCCGTGTAGCACCGAAAGACCGCAACAACTGTGCATCAGTGTGGTTATTTGACCCATTAAGCCAAGTAAATGCCCGAGTGCCCGGATGAGTGAATGAATGAATAAAAAAATACCACCGCTTTATGACGCACTGCGGTTTCTGATCACTCACTAACTATCGCTATCAAAAGAAGATGCTTAAGGATGCATCCAAATGATGAAGCGTTGGGTTCGTGGGCGGTCGTACACTGCTTGTCAAGTAAATCCGCCACCAAAAACTATCACTTGAAATTTCACTGAACCCTTAAGCCGCCGCCAACTACTGAACCACAATCCGAAATGCAGCTGAATGATGATGCAACTATTTTCGAATGAATAGAAAGAATAAAGAGAAACTGTGGGGAATATATAAAACGCAAAACCAAAAGAGGGAAGGGCGAATAAAATCTGAGATGAGACAAGTTCTTTGAACTAAGATGACATGTCAATAAAGGCACTTAAAATAGACAAGCATGAAAAGAAGAAGAAGCGTACAAAAACAAACAACAAACACATATAAAAAGAAAAAGCATAAAAATGACATAGAAAATGCGTTGAAATAGCAGAAGTAAATGAATGGATTTCAAACTGAATGCTGAATGCCAAAGAGCTCTCAATATGAACTCACTACGCTTGTGGCATACAAAAGCAGAGGAAGCCAAAAGGCGGCGGACGTCAGCATATGCGGTTTAAAGCTTAAAGCACATGCATGCACGCGTCGTTGTCACAACTATAGTTGGTAGTAATGGCGGCGAGTTAACATCCGAAAAATCCGCTTAGACGCGTTTTTTGGCGTCAACTTTAAGCGCCACTTAGAGACTTTCTACTACAACCGTAGTGCAGTCGTTACGTTGGTTGGTGGCTTAGTTACTCCACTTTCATTAAATAGAAATGTTAAATGAAAAATATTACGGTATAAATCTGTGTGCGTATGCATGCATGTATGTGTCTGTGTGTGGCACGAGCGCACGAGTGATACAGGTGCGCATATACTGAAGATTTTTAATTCAAATTGTGTATGCATGTCCGTAGTTCACAAGTTGCTTAAAGCTCGCATACTAAAATGGAGCAACCAGAGGTTAAATAAATAAGCGTTTAGCCTTAAGCTTTGAATGTAAATGAGGTAATATCAGGTGGAGTGGCCTTTTTCATGCCCGGGTGAGTGTGAGTGTGTGTGATTTGTGATGGTTGGCATTACACTGAATGGGTTAATGAGGTTGCAAGCAGAAGAAACGTTTACTCATGAGCTATACATACGTGTATGCAAGTACATATGTAGGTACAAGAGTATACATATGTATATATACGTATGCATTGGTAAACAACTGGAAAAGCTGTTGTGTATTTCGTTGTAATCAAATATGCTAAAGAGAAAAATTATCAGTTGAAAATATTATTTTTGTTTGCTGGTCAATGTGCTGATTTCTAACAGAGTGCCAACCTAGTCCCGAACAGGATCTCAACTAGTCCCGCGAGGAACAGTTGCTAACTAAACACTTCCAAAGTAGTCACAAACTTCCCTAGTCCTTCATAGTTATCAACAGGTACTGGAGTTCTAAAATAACAGTTCTGAAAGATCGTCTGAATTATATAAAACAGTTTTCACACTCATCCTTAAATGCTTTTAAAAATCAAAATCTACACAAACACGTAATGCAACCGGACTGAAATTAACCTCGAAATAGTTCACAGATAGCAATAAATAGAAGACAGCTCCCAGAGGTATGATTGACAATTCGCGGAATTCAGAGAAGAATGAGGAAGAGCAAGGCATATAGCAGATGTGCAGAGCTTAGTGGAAAAAAGATAGATCAAGCGAGCGGAACGGAATCAGGTATTTTAAATATGCACAGACCAGACGGAAACAGTGATATGTGAAAGCTGTAACACACAGAATGTGAGCTATACTGTAATGCAAAAGAAGTTCATTTGAACCCTTTGAAAAACTTTACTAAATTTGATTCTTCAACTTAAAACCGGTGAGCAAAAATATTTAGTCGAAGATTTTTTTCCTAACATAAAAGACAGAGTGTTTGTTTTATTCTTACTCCTCATTTTTTTTATTAAGCAACAAAATAAAATATTTTCACGACGTCCACGGCCACTCATGTTCGCACTGTGCGGTCTGTGTATATTCACTGATAATACACTTTAGCAAGTTCCGCAGACAAGCCAACAACAATGCGGGGAGCGAGAAAAATGCCAAGACAAAAACTAACCCTCGGAGAGCTACCGATACGAATGCTGATGAGCATTTGGTGCGCGCGTACTATTGCTATGAGTACACACTCAAACAAACTGGTATACATGGAACTGCACAAAAGCACGTACCTACATATTGTATATGTTTGAGCAACGCCATGGCAATCACTTTAAACCCGCTGCAGCAGCAGCCCGGTGTGCCAGTAAGCAAAATGTTATTGTACTCACTGCAGCTGCTACAAACAATGTTACGTATACGCAGTGTATCACCGAGAGCAAAATAATAAGAAATTAGAAAAAAAAACGACAAGAAACGGTTCATTGTGGAGTTCCAACAAAATGCTGCACTTTCACATGCGACGACAGCGAAGAGTTGAAAGGTTACTGTTCCACTAAAGCGCACTCTCTGCTCCTCTCGCTCTTTTACAGGCCTTGCTCCACCACTTGTTGTCCCAGTCGAGTTCATTTGAATTTCCTGGTAGGTAAACGGCTTTGTTAGCGTGCAGCAAGGATACTTAGCATATTTCTAGGTATTCGTATAGCTGTGTGACGGTGTACTACCGTTTAGTGTCATTAACAAGTCAGCACCAAAGACACATCATGGAAATCAAAGTCACCAACAACAGAGCAGAGCAAACGAGGTGAGGAGCTCTCAACTCTGGCAGTTTATGTCGAAAAAAAAGAGGCGGAGAAAAGGTACGATACAACAACTATAGCAAGAACAACGTCAACTGGCTAACGGCCCACATCATTAACACCAAACAAACATTTGTTGTTTGTTGAAAAGGTGCAAAGTTGTGTGCGGCATGAAGCCGAAGACACATGAACACAAGTGATGAGGGTCCGAATATGTGGATGTGAGTGTTCGTGTGTAAAGTGCTGTGTCATGAAGGCACAGAAGAACGAAGAAAGCAATATACTGTATATGTATAAACCAGCCTTACAAT